CCCAGCTCTGCCCCCACCTCATTGCCTATTGATGCCCCTGTCATGGCCACAGCTGGTCAACCTGGGGCTGGACTGCCCTGCCCTGGACTCCAGGGTGGTTCCAGCCCCTCCTTAGACACCCACGGGACCATGGGAAGTCTGATAATACTCCGGATGCTCTGGCAGGATCTGGTCTAAGATCTCAGGACCCAGTCAGGTCACGACCTGCCTACGGCCTCCAGGGGCAGCTCTGCAAGGGTGAAGGGGACAGTGTATACCCACTGAGAGATGAGAGAGCTGGACCCTGGGCAGGCCTGAGGGCTGGCCTTGCATCCTGCAGGGTTGGGAGCCACATGGTGGCATGGGTGTGGCAGACAGAGCAGGATCGGGAGGGCGATGGGCAGAGTGGGGCCGGGGAGGGCGGCAGGTGGAGTAGGGTGGCAACCCGAGGCCCACCCGCTGTTGCTGTGCCTTCTGGATGGTGGTGATCTGCTGGGCCACCACAGACAGCACCTCAATGTCGATGCGGTTGAACTCGTCAAAGCAGGCCCAGGCCCCAGCACTAAGAGAGGCAGAACACTGGGTGGGAATGTGCACTCAAAGCCCACTGGCAGCTCCCTCCAAGGGCCCGCTTTGACTGCTGGGGAGGAAGCCCTTGGTGGCGATCTCTATTAACTCAGCCTCCACCCTACTGCCTACCCCTCAGTGCTCACCGGGTGAACCTTTGACCCATCACCGCATCTGCCCGCCCCCGTGCTGTGAGGCTCCTCTTGGGCAGTGCCCTCACCCAGGAGGGCTGGCCTTCCCGCTGTTCACACCCAGCCTCACCTGGCCAGGCCCTTGAAGAACTTGCCCATGGCCATAAAGTCGAGCTGGTCAGAGCAGTTGAAGACAACGGTCTGTATAGCCAAGGCCTTGCCCAGGTCTTTGGTGGTCTCGGTTTTTCCTGTGCCAGCTGGACCAGCTGGTGCACCTCCAAACTTGAGGTGCAGGGCTCCAGTCAGGGTCAGGTAGCACCTGCAGGAGAGGCATGGCCACACCGTCTTGGGCACTCCTCCTTCCCGGGGATTTTCACAGGCCTAGGACAGCCCCCTCCTCTTGGGCCCTGTACAGGTGTGGCTCTCACTCCCCATCCCCCTCAGGGCCCCAGGTGTGCCCCGCTCTAACCATGGGATCAGGAGTAGAGTCTGTGGCCCCCTGTCCAGTGCTTTCCCTGCCCCATTTCACTGCCCTGCAGAGCTAGGCTCAGGGACCCACTGGGACGGCCAACACTGCCCTCCCCTTGTTCAAAACCCCACATGTAAATCCAGCTGGCACTAAATACGGGCAGCATGAAATGATGCTTCAGATGGGGATCATTCACTTTAGGGAGGACTCGCCTGCTACTGCTCTCATGATCAACTCCTCTAGCACATTTAAAGGCGGGGCTGGCTGGGAAATAGTCAAGCTCGTGTCCACTAGCTGCTCGCTGAGCACCACACATGTGCAGGGAGCCTCGCATGCATCTGCTCATGGGGTTCTCAAGACCACCCTGAGGAGGCTTTAGAAGAAACTGAGGCACAGAGGGGTTGAGTCACCACCCAAGGTCACTCAGCCTGATGGGCAGAGTCTGTCCTAATCCCGTGCTGCTCTGAAAGACTAGACTATGATGGAGTGGCTGTGGACCAGGACTCCTGGGCCATTGAGAGCTGAGGGCAGGCCTCAGTGTGGGAGGGAGTGTGTGGGGGGCTTCTGCACCTGTCGGTAAGGGGCGTGATCACCAGCCTCCCGCTGTTGCCTAGGTACTCATAGCCGTAGATGAACTCAGCATTCACAGCGCGGATGTACAGGTCGTTGTTCGTCCAGTAGTACCTGACGGTGCAGGGAGGGGGCCCTCAGCCACGGGACCGCAGGCCACTGGGACAGTCAGGGAGAGGGAACAAGGGCATCGGGGCAGCCGGCCCAGTTTGTCCCAGAGACTCAAGGGCAAGGACCAGCCTACTGTTAAATGACTCTGTACACTGCCACCACAGGCCTCTCCTGGCGGCTGTTCTGGCTCTGGGATGGCCCCCCATGCCCTCACCTCAACTGTGAGATCCACTCGAAGTCATTCACGCTGACCACGTGCTCCTGGATCAGCTTGCTCACCACGTCCTTGGCATGGACCTCAATGACAATGAGTGCCGACAGCACTGCCCGCTGCATGCGGGACAGCTTCCCCCGCACCAGAGCCACAAGGTCACTGAGCTGCAGGGGTGGAAGCGATGTCAGAGACTGGGGAGCCCAGGGGAGGCTTCCCCTCCCTTGTATAGAAAGTAGGCTTCCGCTGTGAACAGCCCCTCCATTCTGGGACTTCTGATGGTCTGGGGTAGGAGGAGTATAGGGACCAGGTTGGGGGAGGGAAGTAAATGAAAATGGAGGAGAAAATGCACCTCGTGACAGCTGCTTCCCTAGGGCGTACAGTGCCACCCGACCCCGTGAGGGCCAGCGTGGAGCCTAGAAAGGAGCTCGAGGCAGGAGCATGGTGACAAACTGGTGCACAGAGCAACGATGGCCCAATGGGTGGCATAAGAGTGACCTGGGTGATCTGACCATCAGGAGGGGGACACCTTTCTGGCCTCAGACCTCCCCTCAGGCTCCTGGACCCTCCTGCAGGTGGCTGGATGTGAAATGCTCATTTCAGGGACGTCCGGCCTTCTATCTTTAGACCCGATCCCAGGCTTCTTCCAGGCTCCACATAGGACAAAGCTCCAGGGGGCCTGGGTTCTCCCAGGGTGTGAATATGTGGGGGGAACAGACAGAGACCTGCTTGACTCCCACCTGCTGGGAGAGCTGGGGGAACAGCCGGCTACTGAGGTTGTTGGCCTCCAAAGCCTCCGCCACCTCCATGGTCCAGTAGGTCTGGCACCCAGCGATGGTCACCTGGCCAGGCCAGTTCAGAACCCACTGGGTCCTGGGCATCTGGGAAGATGACAAAGGGACAGATGGCCCAGGCAGCAGCCAGCCCTGACCCGTTTCTGCTTCTGGAATGTTGCCTGCACATGAGCCTTCTAAACTCTGGGCTCATGTTCATTCTCCCTGTCCCTCAGAAGCAGAGGTGCCATGCCCAGCCACAGTGGTACAAGCAGGAGGGTACCAGAGTGATGGCTGAGGCTGCGCAGGCCTGGGTTCATTTCCTGACCTGACCCGAGCAGGCTGGGCACAGTGGTACATGCCTGGGGTCCTAGATAACTGGGAGGCTGGAGCAGGAGGCTCGTGGCATGGCAAGACCCTATCAAAAATTGCCCCCTTCTCGCCCCCTCCCCCCACTTAAAAAAAAGCAGAGAAGCCGTCAAGCTCTGTGCCTCTTGGAAGGGCAGAATCATTACTTCCACAGCAGAGGAGACTTAGGAGCAGAGGGGTGGGAGTTGTGGGTTCAAATCCTGGCTCTGTCACCTGCTAATCACAAGCCCTTCAGCAGAAAACACCTCTGAACTGACTGCAGGATGGGCTTAGCCTGCAGCACGGCTGCTGGTGTGGGACTGAGAGAGGAACACAGGCGAGGTTCTAGGCCAGGGCCTGGGTCACCGTGAGTACTTGAAATGCAACAGCATTCACAATTATTATTAGGAGCAAGTCTCACTTCAGGAATGGGTGTGGAAAGAATTGAGCCCCCAAGACCCCAGGGCTGACAGAGCAGCCACTGCCAGTGCCGTAACCCAAGGACGCAGCAGGCTGGTGCAGAGAAGCACCATGTGGGGCAAACGGGCTGGGGGCGCGGTCTACCGTGGGGTAGGCCCTGATGGCCCTCTCGATGATGTCGCGCACACTGGTCTTCATGCTGTGCTCCACCTCCCGCAGCCAATCCTCCACGTTGCTGGAGGGGATGACGGAGAAAGACAGCTGCACCTCCTCGCCCTCCGCCGAGTACATGTGGGTGATCTCCAGGTTCTCCTGGAACAGCAGCTGCAGGCAAGTGGAGCAAGCAGGAGTTCCTCAGGTGTGCCCAGAGGACTGCCCACCCTGTCCCAGGGCTACCTCCACTGCTCCCCCTCCCGCAGCCAATCCTCCACGTTGCTGGAGGGGATGACGGAGAAAGACAGCTGCACCTCCTCGCCCTCCGCCGAGTACATGTGGGTGATCTCCAGGTTCTCCTGGAACAGCAGCTGCAGGCAAGTGGAGCAAGCAGGAGTTCCTCAGGTGTGCCCAGAGGACTGCCCACCCTGTCCCAGGGCTACCTCCACCGGTGCCCTCCACCTTCCTCAGGGCACCTATCTCAGCTGGGCCTTCCCACTGCATATGGGCAGGTGGGGTCTGCCCTGTCCCCTTGCAGCCTGGCCCTAGCCCAGGCGTGGCCTGGCCTGAAGCAGGCACTTGGAGGGGGAGGCTAAGTCTACCCTGTGTGTCTCTGTCCTGCACAGGCCCGGTGGCCTCCTCTGTAGAGGAGGAGAATGTGAGGCAAGACACAAGCCTTCTGGCCACAAGGGTTTGTAACCCCAGCCACCGACCCAGGGTGCCAGGGGACTGGATGTCCCTGAGGAGTTGGAGGCCAAGAACCCTTGAGCTGGGGGTTCTGGAGGCCCCAGTATGTCTCCAAACACCAGGAATCTCACATCCACCTCATTTCCTGCTACAAGGGCTTGGTGTGAGAGGAGAGATGTTCTCCCTGGAAGGTACCCCAGAGCCCTTGGCCCCACTACCCACCCGGGCAATGTTCTCGAAGCACTTGCGCAGGTGGGGCTGCACGGCCGTGGGGTCCTTTGTCTGGGACAAGATCTCTAGCAGTTCATCATCTGACAGGAAGTAGAATCTGACAGGGGAGTCAGGGTAAGAGAGTGGGTCAGACAGGTGCGCTGGGCCCCTGCTGACATCCCCATACCCTAGCCTGGGCAGACACTGACAGGGCTGGCTGGTACCCACCTGGGGAAGGCGCTCCTCTTGGTCTCCAGGTACTCGCTGAGCCCCTTCTGCACCAGATCCAGCAGCTTGTTGCAGTCCCGCAGGCTGTCCAGCAGCCGCTGGTCGGCACATACGTTGATCACCTAGAGGGCCCGGGCCGGGGAGAGAAACTGGGAGTGAGCATGGTCCAGGGGGAGGCAGTAGGGCAGGCTGGCTGGGGAGCACCTGAGCCAGCCTCAGCTCCTCAGCAGGGCCTGGGAGGGA